CTTTTACCGTAACGGGATAATGGCCTCATTACAAAAGGGTCTAGCAATGAGCTAGCAAGGTACCGTGGCAGTGCCTTTCTGGAAGGATACAAGTAGTGTAAGACTGCATTTGCCTTGACCAAAGGGAAGGAAGTTGCAGGAACTGAGACCTGATACAATGAGAGCCTGGATGTGGATTTTGGCCATGCGGCTGGACGGGGAAGGCTGAGTATTGGAGGCACTAGGCAAAAAGAACCTCTGAGAGCTGCTCTAATTAAAGCGCCTGCAATGTCATGTATATTCAGTGATCCCCACTTCAAAATGATGGTGGGAGCGCTTTAACTAAAGCTCGTTTGACGGACTTTAGTTAAAGTGTCCCTGCCGCCATTCTGAAATGCCGGGACACTGAATACACAGGACGCAGAGGCTGCTGGAGCACACTAATTATTATACTCTAGCAGACTTGATTAATTGAGTCTGCTCTGACACGTCCTAATTAGCACGCATCGCAGCAGACGTCTGCCATGTGTATAGATGCCCAGAGCACTGTAGGATTGAAACTGAACTTCACAGGGCGCCTCAACTTGCGCGCTTCCTGTTTTCTGGGAGCCAAAGCTGCTGATGGTTTGGGGTCTGAATCACAAAATGCTCCAAAGGCAGCAAAGCTGTGTTCAAATGTGGGAAGTACCTAAGTCCTCTGAAAAAAACCCAGCCCAAAGTGTCTCTGATGGGGCACCCAAAATACCCAATTTTGAGTATGATTGACTGTGACTTCATTGTCCCTCAGCTCCCTGGCTCTCCCAGGGGATAATGGTACCCCCTCATCTCACATAGCAGGTGTTGTGATAATCAGTTCATTCACACCTCCGACGTGCTCAGCTACCGTCACGCTGAATACTACCACGAAGCCACCGAGGGAACTAATCAGTCCATCCTCTGCGCAGGCTTTGAACGCTGTGCAGGAAATAAGACAGGAGGACACACGTTGAACAGCAACATATGGAGTGGCAGCTCATTAAGGAAGCTCCGTCCAACCTGTGCTCCAAAAGCAGCGGGGATCCACCGGAGGAAAGGAATAGCGTGTGATGCTGCAATTAAAAGCTGTGCGTTAATGCATATGCTGAGCGAATGCTGTACGGGCAGCTGTGATTCCGGCGTTCCCAAACTTTCCGGGACTTGACTTTGCAGCTGAAATGATCTCTTAAGGCAGGAGTTTTGCAGGCGTTCTTGTGTAATCATAAGGATTACGTTCCAATGAACCAGAATCGTGCATCTTTTACAATGTCCCCTGCTGTGTTGGGACACAAAACATCATGCTAGGATATGCAATCTGGGGTCTGAAGATGATTGGGAAGCTCACTCAGTCCCTTCCACCAGCTACAAAGTTCATGCTTTTCCCATTTGGAGGGAAAGTACTATTTCAGCTCCCCTTTTCTGAAGCCCAGTGGCCTCATCCTTCAGTCCCTCCTCATTCAGACTCCTAATTTATAGGATTATCGCCATTGAGCTCAAAGGCACTACTTGCATGAGTAAGGAGCGTAGCATCAAGCCCCAGGGCTGTTCTCTGACAGGTAGCAGCAGGGTACAGTAGATTGATCAAGGCTTGTCCAGCTGTGGTTGATGAACGAGATCAAACGAATCCATCTGCTTGGCGTGTTTTAGACTGAGCAAAGGAGGTGAGGCACCGCGCTGTGCAGTACGAGTGCTGACGGAGAGGGATTGCAACAACGGAGACAGCACGTTGGCCTCTGCCATAGCTCTCCTTTAGTGCACAGGTAGCTCTTTGGCGGTCAGGAGCATGGCAGTGAGCAGGAACAGTCCACACAGACCCTTTTTCCTTGCTGATATGTCAGACTGTTCCAGGGGAAGCATCTTAAATGGCTCACGTCGGTCAATGAGAAGAACAGTCTGGAGACAGACTGAGGCTCCAGGGTAGAGGTGTTCCTCAGCCTTCGATGGCTTCAGTCCCCACAGATGGCAAGGCCTGGCAGGCATCACATCACCAGCTTCAGTGCACACCTTGGAGGAGAATCTAGGTTTTGCACAGGCGATGCAGTGTAGTGGTCATGGCATGAGGCAAGACCTTGGGAGACCAGTTCCCCACTCGGAAACTGGTCTACCAGATCACCTGGGGCAAGCCGCGTCCCCTCTCGGTGGCTTAGTTTCCCGTTGTTGGTCTGATCTACTTACACTGCCTCCCAGCTGAGATGCTCGTAATGGGTGTACAGCATCTGGCAGGCTGAGGTCTTGCGGCAGTACCCTAACAGCGACCACGCTCACTTGACTGGTTTACGTTATGGCTTTCCATCTCCTTGACTAAGTCTCTGCACTTCTCTTGCCGCTGCTGCTATTTAACACAGCCCCCACGTTGCTCACTTCGGTATGGAGTGGGGGTTGAGAGCTACCTTTAAAGTTCTGCAGGAAAAAAAAGACAATATTTTCCTTTTAAGTCAAATGCACCAACATCCACGCGGTATTTTTTTTCCCCTTTCCCCTTGGATGATGTGTCTCAGCAATGTCAATAGCCATTCCTAACCACGGGAACCTGGCAAGGCTGCGTGCCTCTTCATAGCACCCACAGCTACGATGCCAGCAGCAGAAGCTGTTGGCTCAATATTGCTGGGAGGTGTTTTCCTAGCTTCTCCCAAACATAAGGACTGTTCCTTCTTGAAGCCTCCTCCTCAGTCACATAGCAAGGCAGAGTAAAAGAATAGAGAGTTCATTCAGTGGGCTGGGAGAGGAAAGGCAATAGGATGCACCTGTTGGGATGGGTCTCAACCCAACCCTCGAAGCTGAAATTGGGGAGAAGCAATGTCATGTGGCAGGCCTCACTACTGGGTGTCGGGAACCCTATTCCCAATTCTGCTACCAAGTCTCTTTGCAGCCTTGGCCAAGTCATACGCACCTCTCAGTGCTCACAGAATCGACAGGGATGCTGGGAGACTTGAGTCCAAGACCCATGCAACATGTACACCGGTATGATTTACACTGGTTTTGTAAACTGTAAATAGCACCAGGAGCCCCTGCGGACAGATGGGCGGCAATCCCACAGTAGCTGCTCGCCCTGGCGCTCTTAAATGCCTTGCTTCGAGGCGGCAGGGAGCCGATATTGGTTACCCTGGGGTAGCTGTGGACAAACAGTGCTTTTCCCCCAGGATAATTCTCTATTGGATTCAAGTACGCTACACTGCTGCAGCGGTCCACATTATCTGCCGGCCCCTTGTCTGCCCTGGTCGAACGGCTGATTGCACTGATGTAGACGCACCGTGTGTTCGAGCCTGTAATCAGCTCGAGTTTGTGGAGTGGGGAAACGTTGCTGCTATGTACCTCATCACCAGCTAGTGCTGGCATCTTGGAAAAGCTCCTCTGAGTCTGTGATAATCCATGGCCGGTGGGGAGGCAGAAGTGGACTCTGCCCTTACGAGCTTGTCAGCCTGCCACACAAGACTGGGTGCCAGCTCCCCAGGTACAGACATCACGTCTGGGTACCACTGACCTGGCTCAGGCCAGCTGTATGGGCCACGGGCGGCTGTTCCTAGCCCCTGGCAGCAACAGCCCACAACAGCACACCCACCCTCTGCAGTGCTAAGCATGTCCCACATCTTTACCGCAGCTGGCTACGGACATCCTCCCACATCCCTGCTTATTCTTCTTAGCTGAGAAACATCCTCCCAGGGGAAGCCCCATACCAGGGGACCCTCCAAACCAGACTGGGAGCAAAGGGAACAATCCTGCAAGGGCCCGAGTGGCTTGTGGTTGCGAGGCGGGGACCTGTCCGCTTCTTATGGCCGTGACTTCAGCGTAGGGTGCTGTTTCTATTCCCTAAAATATGTATGCATGCCTAATGGCAGGCCATTCTTTCCTGCGATTTCCTCTCCACCGGCTCCCAGGGCATCATCTCTGCGGAGGAGCTGAAGCCCAACTAAAAATAACCTGCTGGGTCTGTGCAAGGGTCCCACCGCGGAGACATGCAGTGGCTCCTGCCGGACATGCCCAGATCAGGAGGCATTTATATAACCCTGCTCCAGCCTGTGCTTGCCACGCAGTGCCAGCTTGCACAAAAAACCCGAAGCAACAAACCAGCAAATAGCTGGGGAGGAGGAGGGGGGGGGACCCCCCTAACCCCTAATCCAGACACCTGCTTTTTTTTTTTTTTTTTTAATCCCTGCCCTGAGCACATCCAAGTTGCAAAATAATTGGAAATTTTTTTTTTTTTTTGCAATGAAGGGACTAGCTCCAGAGCATCTCCTTTGCATGCTGGGGGATGTAGTGTGAGCAGGGCTGGCTGTGCAGGGGGGGGCATGGGGTTGCAAACTACAGCTCCCGGCGTGCTGGGCTGCACAGGGGGGAGGAGGGGGGTGGCTGAGAGCAGGCTCCTGCCTGCCTGGAGGGGTTTATTCGGCTGGCCCTGGCGTCACACAGCCGGGGCTCCCGGCTGCTGCTGCAAACTCCCAGGTAAAGGATGCAGGTGTGCTGGGGGGTGCGGAGCATCAGCTCCCCTGCAGCCCCTGGAGGTAGGGGCAGGGTGGGAGTTTGGTTTGCTGGCAGGAGGGCTGGGGGGGGGCAGCAGGAGGGGGCTGCATGCCCCTGGACTGGCACTGCCAGCACCAGCCTCCAGCTGCTTTGCAAAAGCATGGGTGGAGGGGTGCTGCTGATGCCAGGGCATGTGGCAGGGACAGGTGCAGCGGCTGTTTCTGGCACCCTGCGTGTGCATGTGACTGTGTCGCCGTGCCAAGAGAGCCCTGCTCCTGCACAGCCTGGTGGGGGGTGTGCACAATTGTGTGCACAATTGTGTCTCTGGGTCAGGGTTGCTGCCTGCTTTGCTGCCCTGCCCCTCCACACGTGGGTGCATCCCCCGCCGGTGGCACGTCACCCCCAGCCACCGTCCCTCTTTCTTAATGAGGAGTGCAAAGGCCAGGGTGCATCCCCCCCCCATGCTCCTGCTCTTACCCAAGTTGTGGAAAGAGCCCGTTTTCCTCCCTTCGGAGAAAAACAAAGCCCACGCTGCGATGGAAAGTTACCGGGCTGTTCGGGGACGCGTGGCTGTGCCTTCACGGATGTTCTGGATTTCCCTGCTGATAGGCACTGTTTAGCGCCTAATCCCTAAATCGCAGTAAGATTAAGGGCGCGGGGGCAAGGAAAAGGTACTTGCAGTCGTTTTCCCTCTCTCTCCCTTCACTCGCATTGCACGGATGATGAAAAGCTACAGCTGTTGCATCCAGATTGGAGCCCAAGGGACCTGTTTTCTGCTTGCTTTTCCAAGTTTCAGGGGGGCAGCCGGGGTGGGCAAGTGGCTGTGTTTGCAGTGATGACAGACCCCTCTGTGGCTGCTGGTTTTAACTCCCTGCCTTTGATGTTCCTCCCTCCCTAGATTTTGGAAAGTCGTTCTGGAGCCATGGCCTTGATGAAGAGCGGCTGGCTTTGGAGACAGAGTAAGTGCAGGCTGTAATTTTGCGGCTGCAGGGTGGGGTGGATGGGGTTGTCTTATTCTTAGGACATGGCAGAGGATAACGTGGTTTCTGTCTGACGTCGCACGAGCTGGGCAGCCGGCCGAAACAACGGGCAGACTGCACTGCAAGTGCTTCGACTTCTCCAGCGAAAGCAAGAAGGGCGGGCTTCGGCTGGAGGATTTCGTGCCCGGAGTGGCCTTAAGTGCATTTGAGCCCAATCTGGTCTCTAAGCAGCCGTGGATTTGGGCAGCCCTTTACTCTGAAGCAATCACTAGTCGTGGGACTTGAGCCGTGATTTACGGAGCGTCATTCTGCGGCCTGGGGGATTCAGGAGTCAGGCCAGGCAGTGCCATCTGGCTTTGAAAATCCCCTGCGGTATTTTTGTTTGAGGAAACTCAGGATGAGAAGCCCAGCTCTGTGCTGTGCTCCTGAGAATGGCAGTGCCCTGGCACCGATCCCTTGGGCAGCATCTGCCCAGGGCATCCTCCTGTCCTGTGCTGGATGTGCAGACGGGACCTGGTGGCCATGATCTGTAGGCCACATCTTGCCCCCTTGCTTGCCCTGGGGAAGGGGGTATTCACCCAAGCCAGTCTGCTCGGGTAGGGCACTCCTCTCCCGGGAGGAGCATTCACAGCTGGCTCCAAGGGGAAGTTTTTCTATCCCACGCAGCCCCGGCGTGGGGGAGAAGGTTGCGCCTGTCTGTTGGTGACAGGTTTTATTTTTGAAGCTGTCACCTCCAGGCCTGAAGTAAAACCCTCTGGACTTCCCTCTGGAGGTGTTATTTTTATAACACCGGGCCCCGTTCTCTTTGCACCTATGTTGTGTAGGCACAAGAGAGGGGGCGTGAGTCGCAACCTTTCCGAGCAGGTTGTATTCTTCGTTAGCGCTGCCCAGTGTCAGCCACGACTCCGAGTGCAAAGCACAATGGGGTCTGAAGCAGGGGTCTCTGTCGATGCAGAAAGGGTCCCCAAGCCCCACAGAGCCCAGGCAAAGGATGCAAATGCCCAGGTAAAGGGAGCAGGGTAAGGGGAGGATGCAAACTCCCAGGTAAAGGGAAGCATATGGGTGCAGAGGGATGACTGATTTCCTCCAGGAAGGGGCTGATTGCTTCTGCAGCCGGGCACTTGCCATGCTGGCCTCCACCCCGGGGTCAGAGGAGGAGATGGAGCACAGCGTCCTGGGCTGAAGTGGAGCGAAGCGGGAAGTAGGTTGTGCCAGCGGCAGGGCTGTGGGAGGGGTGGCAGGGACAAAGCACAATTCAGCCCCTGTTCTGCTGCTGGGACACCGGTCACCCGAAGGAATGGAGTGGGAGACGGGGCCGAGATCACGCGCTCGTGTCGACCCTGCAGCGCGGCTCTCGGGGCCTGTTCTGCCAAAGGCTTTTGCAGCCAGTTCTTGCTCTCTGCTTGACGCGTTCCCCACCTGGGCATGTGCCGTGCATCTCCTGTAGGACAAACCAGAGACATTTGAGTCCTGACAGGGCGAGATGATGATACCCAGTCCTGGGGGATGCTCTGATTTAGCAGCCAGAGGCAGGAGGAGATCGAATGGCTGGAAGTTGATGTCAGCAAAGCTGGCTCTGGCAGCGAGGGGTCGGCCCAGCAGCGTGTCAGGAAGGCAGGTGCCCGCAGGCGTGGGGAGAGCCAGCAGTCAGCCGTATTGCCCCGTCAGCAGCCCTGGGGCCAGGGGAGGGAGCATGCCACAAGCTGGCTGGCAGGAGCCTGCTTTGATGTTCCCTTTGCCCTCTTTCTTCCTTGTCCCCTCAGGCTCCATTCTGCGGCGCTGGAAAAGGAACTGGTTTGTCCTGTGGCTGGATGGCAGCCTGGTGTACTACCAGGACGAGACCCAGCGGGACATGGAGGGAAGGGTCCACATCAAGTTCAACTGCCGGGGCGTCAAGACGGGCCGCGAATGCAGAGGTGAGCTGGCTCCTCCGGGGCTGACACTGTTAGGACTCCGTCCGGGGCTCCCGGTGTCCGACGTGTGCCGGCTGTCTGCATAGAGTGGGATCACTCCTAGCACAGGGGACTTGGTCTAGTCCAGGGCTGAACTTCCGACTGGTCCTCAGTCAGCACCACTGCTCAGCTCCTCCATGGGTCACACGGCACTTTACAGAAGGCGTAAATGTCATTATTCTCTATTGCACAGTGGGGAAACTGAGGCACGGAGCCATGACACCCCGCTCTCAATCCATGACAACCTCCTGCCCCTCCCAACCCCAGGGGAGCTGAGTCCTTTGGGCACTTCTAAACTTTGGAGTCTTAAACGGGACAGCTATGTGTTGTCTCCAGTACCCAAATTTCTCTCTCAATGTCTTGACGCCCATCTTGCTGGGAACATCTGATCCCAGCAGTCTTTCCTGCCCACACGCAGGGGGGCTGGACCTGATGAGGTCCCTTCCAGTCCCTAACGACTACGAAACTATAAATCTCTGCCTGCCTTTGCCTCCTTGTCCTCTTTGGGATGCAAGGACCATTCTGGATGCGTGAGGCCAGGTTGCCTCCCTGCACCTCTTTTCTGGACAGGCCTTTCATGAAACAAAAAATGGGACTTCACCGTTGCTTGTTGCTGTCTAATGTTAACTGTTCCACGTATCAGATCTTGGCAGAGCACAATCAAACCCAAGCCGATGTTTTGGACCTCAGTCTCCCCCCCCCCCCCCCCCCCCCCCCAATCCATTTTCTTTTCTCTAAAACTCTATGTTTACTGACACCGCAGGTGTCCCCTAAACTCACGCTATGAAAATGCAGCGGCGATTAGTCTGCTGGAGGGATTGACACTAAGCTCGTTACCCTGACGACTAAATTAGATGCCGTTTATGTCTTGAGGTGAGGGTTTCCACCTGCGAAGTACACAAAGCGGCGCTTGGTCCTTGTGTTGATGGCAATAATGAGTGATTTGGGACCTGAACTCCTTGTTGATAATAGACGCTACTTGAATCAATAAAGGTGTCTGAGCGTAGGTATAAGAGGACCACATAATGAATGCTTTTCTAGAGCATGTCCAGGGCAGTTGAACATACTCTGCAGGGGCTGCGGATCCTGTTTGCTCTTGGATGAAAAGACAGTGCCTCTTCCCATTGTATTGTGGTTCACATGATTCAATATGTGGTACCACAGTCCTGAGTCATCAGTTGTATTCTCCCTCTGATGAGCGAAACAAAGGGGATACAGAGCTCAAGCAGAACCGGCTTGCATGGTACAAAGGCCCTTTCTTGGACTTCGAGCGGCAGTAAGAACGCTGCGTTTCTGTATGGTCCTCTGCAGATCTCAAGGCACTTTGCCACGGAGAAGCAGATTTCTTTCTGCAGCTCAGGCTGTGGTTAGATCCCATTTTAAAACTCCGGTTTTGTTCTTACTGAACTTTTTGGCTTGGAAAAAAACCTCAGGTTGGCCTTAAAGCTGCAAGAATCACTCCGAGTAATGGAGAAGATCTCTGCCCTAATTTAAGAAATATACTTCATAGTGGGCTTGAGTGATAGGTCATAAAAGAGAAACTTGACTTTGTTTCTTCCCTAAAGTTTCTTGTCATCTTTTTGCTCGCAACTGTTTGTCGTTTCCCTGTCCTGCTTCCAGAACTCAATCTCCTTGCAGACCTCACGTGGCCCCAGTTAGCAAAGCTGGACTGTAACGCATCTGTCTGTCTTTAAAATTTAAAATACACTTAAATAGTGGGCGCTTCTACATATGCATTCATGCTCCTTAGTTACTGCGCATTAAGTTTAGTGCCTGGAATAACAGGTACTAACTCACTGTGCAGTTACTGGTGCTATGCGCAGTAGTGCTGGCACGCACCATTTAGTGACGCTAATGCACAGTAGACCAATTCTGCTGCACATTAGCGCATTATCACAGCTTTTGCCCTGACATGCTAATGCGCAGTAGAATCAGTCTACTCCGCATTTAGCATCTTGTATAGACACACCCAGTATCTCCATTTTCCCTCCCTTGCTCCTTCCCTTCTTCCCTTCCTTCCAGCTCAGTAGCAACAGTGGGGCCAAGTGAAGTCTTGCCACTGATTTAGTTTCTATGATCTAATGTTTTCCAAGTGTTCAACCACAATTCTTTGGCAGGTATCTACAGCACCTGGGTTTCTAAGGGGATCATCCATCCAAGGTATTGTTCAGGTCCAGGCCTACTTAGCTTCCAAGATTAGACAAAATTGGGTGCATCCATTCCAACATAGCTACCCTTATTTTCTCATTACTTAAATTGGCGCCACAAGACCCTACAGTAATACAAACCACTCCACCACGTGCATCCAAATCAGAGCCACTGAAAAACCAATATGTATATGTGCTTACAAATGACGGCCGCGGCAAAGACACAGTTGTAAACGCATCCTCCAAACTTCTGCTGACAATCGCTGATATTTCCCTATTGACATTCATTGCAAACAAAGCTACGTGACATTTTTGGGAGAAAAGATAGCAATAAAATTAAAATACTGAAAGAGATGTTAAAAATGGTTTCCAACTATCTGCAGGTCAAAGTTAGGGCTATTGCACGGTTATGAAAAGCTTTTTTTTTAGGGGAAGTTGTTGATACTGTGTAGGGCAGAGTCAGATTCAAGAGGCCCCTCATTATTTTCTTCCTTGTTCTTTAGTACTTGGCTAATGCAAATATATAGGCTAGGTCTCTGTTTTTGAGGGGTGCAGACCACGTTTTTGGTCCTTTAGCAACTGATGTTCATTGGCCTGGTTATCCGTGTGTCTGCTGCCTGATTATATGGGTTTAAGGTTCAATGAGAAACAGGCAGCAAGGAGAAAAATGGCTCCAGGTAGCCATCTCTTGGCAAGTACTTATGAGTTGGTAGGGAACAAGGGCAGGATCATCAGCTTTATTGATTTTTAGTCTACAAGACTGATTTGGAGCATAAATAGAGGGGAACAAAGAATCCAGCATGGTTTGAAGAGGTACGATGCTGTGTCAGAGGAAGGGGGAGATATTTAGGGAGACCAGGTGGAAATGAGACTTAGATAGAGGAGCCCATTGTGGGGCGTCTGAAGTGGTTGAGCCTGCTTAGGTCACCATCATGGGATGGAAGGACTCAAGCGACAAGCGTGCGTGCTCTTTTGAGGCTTTTTCCCCTTTTAATATGTTGAACCTATATAAGCAGTACTTGTGCTCTATTTGATCACTGTAAACCACTGGTTGCAGGCTCTGGAAGGGAAGAAATGAGGAACCCACACTCAGGTGGACCTGCTGAGTAGCAACAGTTGTCCCATGGGGTACGTCAGCCTCAGGCCTAATGTGAGTAGGGGGATTGCCATATTCCGCCTTGAAAGAGAGAAAAAGAAAAAGGCACGACGTCTGGTGCCTGAGCCCGGCCTGGCCGCTGTGCCCCTCTCCATGGGCCATCCCTCGTGACCCTTGATGCTTTTGGTACACTTCCGTAATACCGTGAGTATTAAGGAGGGCAAATGCTCAGCATCTCGCATCGCCTTTGCCCAGGAGATCACTGTCTAACAGTTCCCATCGTGGCTACAAATACGCAGCGCCCAGGCACCGTGGTGAGCTGTATAATAGAAATGTGGGCATTGATTGACTAGGAGAATATTAAAGAGCAGTGGAGTACTTTCATAAGCAACCTACTTACAGAGCTAATTCCCAGGGCACAAGATAGTCCAGGAAGGGGAAGACCGTATTTGCCAAGCAGGTTAGTCTCACTGCGCCTGTACTTGCCTGGAGCTCGTGCACGTTCCTAAGGCACTGACCCGCCTTGACTGTACAGTGCTGTCTCCCGGGGGCTCCAGCGTTTCTGCTTACCTCTGGAGTGTGAAAATGAAGAGCCCAGCAAGTTATCCTTCTGAAACTCTGGTTCTCAGTGCTACTGCTCGCTTGAATCATACTTGGGCTCTCTCTCAGGGAGTGTTGATGGCTTCTTCCTTCTCCAGGGGCTAGATCAGGGGACTGGGAGTCAGCACCCCTGGAGCCCAATTAGTCTCTCGTTTTGCTTGCAGCATCTTCCCATTGGCTTCAGGTAGCAGCATGCAGGGCACCCTCAGGATGATGAACTATAAGGATTCTGCCACAGGCTTCCTGCTGTACCTTGAGCAAGTCATTTAGACCCCAGGGCCTCAGCTCCCCTTCTGTAGCCTAGTAATAGAAGCGCCTCTGCCCTGTACAGGTCGGGTGTGAGAGTCCATCATTTACCTTTGCAAATTTGCTTCAAGATTCACAGAGGAAAGTGCCGAAGAAGTGCGATCCCTCCTGTGGCTAGGTTGCTGCTCCCACAGCAGGGCTGGGGGGGGTGGGGGCTGTGGCTTGGGAGTGAGGAGCAATGGCAGGGGCAGGACACCGGCATATCAGGGCTGTTCAGTGCCACAAAGCGCTGGGATGGGACATCCGCAGCTGGGCCCACGTCCTGGTGAGCGAAGGGGCCAGGGAGAACCCTGATTTCCCATGATAAAAAATCCAAAATCAAACACCAACATTTATAGGTAGTTAGAATGTATTTTCCTATAGTGATTGAGGCACTGATAGGTTTCCAAAAAGCTTTAAAATTGTAATTATATAAATAAAACATTGTGTTCAACTGATACATGATACACACATACATATATACATATATACACACATATACATATACATACACACACACATATATATAGTGTGGCGTTGCATTTTAATCATGGATTTGGGGGGTTTTAATCAGAGAATTTGCAGTTTTTAAACAGACAAAATCAGGATCCCTGCTTCTCATTCCAAGGGATCATCTGTTAGGTGGCAATAAGGATCCAAACTGTTGAATCTTTACCCATCCCCAGCTCTTGGCTGTTGCACGGAGCGGGACAATAGCCCCGTGGTTAGGTGCTGGATGGGGGGATTCTGCCCAGACCCCGCGGGCACTGGTCTCCGTGTGCTTTGGTTATCTCTGGTCCCTACAGAACCAGGCTGAGGCACATTGCTGGGACTCTTGGAAACAAGCTGTGTTCGCGGCATGTGACTAGAGGTTTCAGCCTCTGCACCCCACTGACTTCTACCCTTGGGGGAGTCTCCAGCAGTGAGCAGTGGCCCTTGCTGCAAGCTCCCTCCTGCAGCAGTGCTCTGCACTGCTGATGCCCACCTGACTCCTGGCAATATTTCTCCATGTTCCTTTTATTTTATCTGTCTTTAGAGGAGGAGATTGTGGAGCTGAACCGATGGCATCTGGTATGGGGCGGGCTCTTCTGCTGCTTACCAGGTGCATCAGCAGTAATGAGTCCCAGCAGGGTTTTAGAGCATGGGGCAGTAGCACAAAGTGCAGCTCCATGCGTGTGTACAGGGGGGGAACTCCCTCTTCTGGTCCATCAGCCTCTGAGAGCTCAGGGAAAAGAGCAGAGAGCCGTGCCTGTCTAGGAGGCAGGATGCCTTGTCTCTGGAAAGGGGCTCCCCTGACCTGGACCTCTCCCCCCACCCCTGCGAGCTCCCCAGGGTAGCTGTGCTGCAGGGGCTCTGGACTGGTGGCTGCAGAGCAGCCTTCAGGAGTAGAGAGGTGGTTTCTCTCTGCGTTGTGTCTCCTTCCTTGGCAAGCGTCTGCCACTCCCGGCGCCTCTGTGGTGGAAACCTGGAGGCAGGAGGAAAGTAGCAGGCATGACTGTACCTTGGCACATAGGGTAAGAGAAAGGCCCCTTTGACAAAGCCATCAGGCACAATTTCAGATGAGCCCAAATCTCAAGCTTTAGGCCTGTCCTGGGTCTGGAGGGACGTTCAGGAGCAACAAAGCGATTCTTGTCCCAATAGTAATCCAGGACTTTCCAGGGCCTCTTGGAGCCTGTGCATGCCTGGGTTCGGATGTGCCAGATGGACACCCCTGAAGAGGTGGCAGCAGCCTGACTCTTCCTGGACTATGCTGCCAACATGGCTTGGTGCCAGTCTGGCAAGATACCATCCTCCAAACTTGGCTCCTTGGCAAACTTGGCTCCTTGGAGCCAAGGTGGCTCCTTGGCTGCTTTTTGCTGGGAGTGAAAACTGTGCGAGGCTTGCAGGATGTTGTCTTCTGCCCACTGAGCCCCCAGGCTTTGTTTCTGCAGGAGGCGAGCCAGCAGCCAGGGGTTGGGAGAGAAGGAGATATTCTGGGTGCATGGTTTGCTGAGCTCGGTGCAGTGGCTAGGAACCAGGGCTTGGGACTCGCATCCTGGCTCTGCCTCTCACCCCATGATGGTGAGGCCTGCCGAGAGCCTGAATCTGTAGCTCTGCAAAGCATTAACCACCTCCTCCATCTCTGCGGGGCATCATCTCTGAAACCTGCTGCTCCGGTGGCCCTTCCTAGATCAGCCCTGCCAAAGTCATAGCTTGTCATGGTAGCGAGATGCCGGGTGAACAGGTCTTCGGGAGGCAATGATAGCAGGAGGGAGGGGACCCTGATAGCCCAAAGAGGAGAAAGGACAAACCTTCAAGCATAAGACTTGTGTACAGGTGGCCACGGCCGTGCTGCACAGAGCAAGTCCCTCGTACCACGCAGGGGGCCTGTGTCACTGGTAGGCTCCAGGAGGAGTGGGGAGCGGGTGGGCTAAGGCTTGCTTTGTTGCATCTCTCCACATTGCTGGCTGCCCCTCTAACCTGCTGGTGCTTTGGCTTCCAGACGTGCAGCCCCCCGAAGGGAAGAGCCGCGACTGCCTGATGGTCATCATGCTGCGAGATGGCTCCAAAGTGACCCTGTGCGCCGAGAGCGAGGACGACGCTGTGTGAGTGACCGTGGGTGCTGCGTGGGCAGCAGGGGTGCCCCGTCTCTCACCTCCTCTTTCTCCTGGGTGTTTTAACTCTGTTTCACGACCAGGGAACTAAAACCTACCAAAGGCATAAACACCACTGAAATATTACAACAGACTCCATCTCCCAAAAGAGACAGCACGTTTCCATTAGGGTCCCCGGGGATAGGAGTCATGCGTTGTTTTAATGGAGCTCGCTATAAACACAGAGCAAGGCGCGTGCCCCGGTCTGACAGCCAGACCTTCATAGATGTTAGGGTCGGAAGGGACCTCAATAGATCATCGAGTCCGACCCCCTGCATAAGCAGGAAAGA